CCATGTAGTGTGTTTCTCCACACATCTTCGATGGGGTACCTAGCTACACACTTTATCTGAATATCTGTGCCGTGCATGCGGAAGGGGGTGTAGAACACGAAATTTTTGTGAAACCATCAATCTGCCCAATTCATACAAACATAGATTTGATAACATTACATTGATATGTGATGATATCTTATGGTGTGAAATAGCCAACCTTTGTTGGTGACATTGCCCTGTGTGATAATAACGCCAACACGGATATTTGATGGGACAAAGCGGGTCTCCAATGTGAACGGATGTGGAAGAGGTCTAGAGGTATTGTAAGACCGTAGCTGAAGTACAGAATGGCTATAAGCCAGAATGTGAGAAGGTAGTAGAGGAATGGTTTGCGGATGCAAAAGAGGAATTTGTCGATTTCGTCGAGAAGATTTTTGAAGAGCCCAACGTCGTCGATGACTGCGTTGAGTTGAGTGGCGAATTGGGAGCAGTTGCGGAGCCAGTCGGATTTGCGTTCGTATTTTCCATTCAATGCAGAGTGACTGTAGTATAGGAAGCCGAATTTGAAGAAAAGGGGTAGGACGTCAGCGCATTGGACGATGGTGGGACAGAGACATTTCATGTCTTTGCCGTGGTCACCTTCTATGTGTTTAGGTGTACATTTATCGCAGTGTTCACATTTAAGATTGTTGAACTCTGTAAGTAATAGTTCAAGACCATCTTTGAGGACATCTGTAAGATAGACAATACGTGATAGATAGGACATAGCGAAAGTTGTAGAAATATTGCGATAGATACTATAGGAGAGCGATTGGAGGTACTTGCCACAAGTTTTGCCACTACCGCAATTGCTGTCGTAGAGGCTGTGGAGGGTGGCCTCAGGAGTGTGAGAGCGACTGTTATGGTATTCAGCTAGTTTCTTGGCTGCGTTGATCATGGCATTGGATCCAGTGCTCCATGGTATTTTCATAGATTCATTTTGAATGGCTTTAGCGACGTTAGGGGAACCACCAGTTTTCATTTCCTCACCAAGATACAAGAACAACCCAGCACAGAGGAAGAAAGCAAAGAGGTCACCGACTGTACGGGGGGTACGTAGGCTGCAGCACATTAGACATATGATTGTGTTGTAGAGAGTGACGGAGTTACGGTCACTTTGGGTGAAGTAAACTAGTATCCAATAGATACAGTCACCAGTGCGATCGGTCTGTGTTAACATTTCGTGATTGAATCCCATTGGTACTGGGCAATATTGATTGAAATTGCGATGGGAAACATGGTCACTATATGGTACAGGGGTGACACCATTTGTCGATACAAGTTGACCATTCTTCATCTCACATTTTTTATTTTTAAGTGATTCACATTGGAATGGTGTAAGATAATCACATAGGAAAGCTTGGAGGGGGGATGGGGAGCTGGGTTCTTTGCCGCAATTTTTGGGGTGGTTAGTGCCCTGTTGACATATCCAATTTGTTAGTGGTGTGGCGTTGTCACCAGTGTTAGGATTAATATCTTTCCCGTATTGACATTCGTTCCAACCGCAACCTTCTCCCCAGGTGTCTGCACATTGTCTTCGGAGGAAATATAATTGAGACAATAAACAGTAAATTATATCCCATAGAACGGGGAATAGGGCACCTGCGGTTGTGGGATATTCAAAGTTGAAGGCAGTATTCGAGTAGATGTCAGTAAGCGTTAGTTTCTCTTTGTCAGTTTTAGTCATATCTTTGGTTATTAGTGTACCTTGCATAGTAGATAGGACCACTGCGGCGTAATGGCAAGTGGTTGATATAAGACAGTCGAGGGGATCAGTAGGGTTTAAGATGGGACCCACAATGAATTTAATAGTGTCAGTGTTACTATGCTTTTTAATACCATTCTTAATCTCCTGTTCCGCGTATTGGAAACAACCACTATATGGCAGAGCCATGAGCCAGTAGAGCATTTCCCTGATGGTGGTGGGTGTACGGGTACCAGCATTGTTGAATTGCGATTGAAAATAGTATGTTGAGCATATGTAAAGGGCGGTGAGGGGGTGGGTCTCCACGTTGGTGTTGTTATTGTTGGTTAGTACTTCTTTGATGTACTCGGGGTAGGGGTCGGAGACGTTGGCAGTACCGTTGGCAGTACCGTTGGTAGCACCGTTTGTGAATTCAGTGAATTGTTGGAAACAAGTTGTGCCAACTTGTTGACCTTTTTTATTCTGATTGAGTTTGGTTAAGTCATAACCACAACAGACGAAATAGATGCCAAGGGGGTTGGACGGTTGGTTAATATATTGAGGGGTCCAACGTGTACCATCACCAGTAGCACCACTACCATTACCTTCATTACATTGCCAATACAAATAACTTAGACCGGAAAAAATTACGGGGATAGTGCCGAGGAAGATGCGAGCGTAGAGTTGTTGGTCATTTTCGGCGGAACTCCAAGTGGCTTCTTTTTTGTAAGAAGAGGTGTATCCATTTTTGGCAATACCTTTACTGCCGTCCAATTTACCACCACCATTCCAACCAATGAACGTTGCCAACTTCTCGGCCAAATTGGTGATCAATTGACCATTATTCAACTGTGGTATTACTTTTTCAAGCACTTTTCTATCATTTTCGAGTAACTTCGCAACCTCCTCTCCAAGTTTCGTGGCATTGCCATTCTTACCACCATTCAAACCATCCTTATTCGTCACCCTTAGAATCCAATCGATAGATTCTTTCAGGTTACCCGGGGGGCAAGTAAGCTTATTATGTTGGCCTTTGCCATTACAACCACAACTCTCCGACATTAAAATAACCACCTTAAACTATTCACATTCTTCCACAAATAACGTATATGTTCCTCATCACTAAGCGACATGGGGGGATATATAGGTGCAACTGCTACACCACACGTTTGGGACAACACCTAGTGTCACTCAGACTGACAAAGTATTCTTCACATGCTTTCTGTGGTACCCCTTTAAATACATGTTTCAGTAACCCACGTTCTGCGTCTGTGTACCCATGTTCCGAGTTGAACCACTTGAGACAGGCCCTTGCCACCCTCGGTTGCACGCCGACTATCGCCAACAGTTTGTCCCAACCCGTGGTTGCATATTTTCCACCTTCATCGAACGGCTCGAAATGTGCCCCTAGGTTACGCAGTGCCATGGCTGTGTCCATCCGTCTGTGGTGTATCCACCCCCGTATAGCCTCGGCTTCGGCCAGGGTGACCACCACGAACCTACGTCCCGCATCCAACATACACAATGACCTTTCACAGTCCAAGCGTGTTTGTTGTGTATAGTGTCCCAAATACAATTCCACAATCTCTGCATCCTGTTTGTCCATCGGTCCCTGTCCCCAGATGGTACCTGTCCCGTTACCCAGGACGTCCACAACAACCACCACGTTCTTCAATCTACGATGACCCATGTTGCTCCATGTCATCTTGTAGTAATTCGGGCTGAATTGGAGCCACTCTGGGAACGGCATCGTCAAACGTTTGTTATCCTTCCTGTAGACATAGAAGTCTCTCAACATGGTGAACCCGTGACCTTCCTGGTGCAACCTGTCCAGTGGCCAATGTACAACCGTTTCGTCCGTCCTGTTGTACTTGTGTGGAACAGGTCTCTCGTCGTCCGTTTCACACTCTTCCTGCTGCATCTGTTGTTTCTGGTGTGTACATTCTTCCTCGACCACCTCCAACAGTTCCATCTCCTGTTCATGTAACGTCTCCAACTCCATCTCACCCACCCCGTACTCTTTGTACTCTAGGAATGTGTCAATAGCACACTCATCGTCACGTGTTTCTATCATCTTAACAAATGCTTGTTTTCTCACCGCATTCTCTCGTTGTTGTTCCTCCAACACTGTCTTCAGTCTCACATCCTCCAACACACCTTTGACAACCAACCACTGTAGACATTGTACTATCTTCAACTGTGCCTTTCCTTGGTCCATCTCGATCACTCTGTCCAACTCTCTCGGCACCACTAGGTGCAATGTCTGTCCCCGACCCACCTCTCTCATCCGCCATGCCCCTTGGGAGTAGTCTCTGTAGGTCATGTTGGGACCCACTGTGATCATCGCCATCGCCGTGGCACACTGTCTGATGTCCTGTCCCGTGGCGTGTACCTGGTCGTAGAACGTGAACCTACGTTCCGGTGGTATCCCGCAGTGTGTCAATAAAGAGGTCCTGTAACGGTCCCTCAGCAACACCATCTGTCTGTCCTCCTGGTCCATATAGACAACTCCGTCCACGTGTTCCAGACCCCTTCGTAACAACTCCATGGCCACCTCCAGATTGCTCATATTGCTAATCAGAGCACCTGTGTCGATCAGTGCTAGAGGTCGATCTGGGTGCCTTGCCACCAGGTCCAGCACAGTGTCACTGGTCCACCCCGTCTCCAACACAGTGGGTCCCATGACCACACCAGGGTCACATAACACATCTATGATGCGAGCATCCACACCACGACTGTAATGACATCCACCCATCTCCCTGGGCAACAGCTGTGACGGTGTCCCCGAGAACCCCAGTCTCACTGGGAACAACATGGAAGTACCCAGTTCCATCGCACTCGCGGTCACCTGCAACCTCGTGTGTTCCATCGCAGCTGGCAGCAGTATCTCGCACAGGTAGTATTTGATCACCTCCAACTCACGTCGCAACAATTGATACAACAGATCCACCTGCTCCCTATCATCCACGTTAACAACATCCAAAGTAGGTATGTCATCATTAATGTCCCACAGCACAGTGTCACCAACATGACTTTGTAAAACATTCTTCAGATAATAATACCTTACTTCTTTTTTCCTTTTACTACAACGCATTCTGCCACCAGCTCCTTCAACCCACTGACAGAACAACGTGTACGCAGGTCGATCTTGTACAGTCCCGGGTTCTGTGTACAACCTCGACACAAGGTGCCTCAGTGCAGTCACAAAGTCACACCTTCTCAGACCTTGGTACATGTAGCTCAACATCGTGAAACCTATTAAAACGTCTGGGTGTGAGAACTCCGAGTGGCTACTGGGGGTGCCTTTGCCAACGAAGGGGACAGCTAGAGTACGTCTTGTCAACGGTACACTAACACTGCTGATTTGCTCCTCCTTTATCACACCATAATTAACCAAATTCACTTTCGACAGCATATATGGCAACGTTGTCCGTAGCCATTCCCTAGTGTACAACACTGCGTCCATCTGTGTCAACAACATGTACTTCTCCAGATACTCCTTTGTCAACTCCTCCAGTATTGGCAACAGCTTGTCTCGGTACCACTGCATATTGAGTATGACCATGTGTGGTGACATTGTCACATGGCATTGGTCGACACCGTCCCGGATACATCTTTCTAGTTCTTGGTGTCCACCATTGACAACCATCGCCAAGACATACCATGGCAACAACCAACGTATCTCGTGGTCACTCCCCTCCAGTTGTTTCAACGGCTGTTTACTGCCAATTGGCCAATGCAGCTCGCTTTTCAGTGGGTGCAACAGCAGGTCGATCTCGTCCATCAGCAGGATGCCACTGGAGAACAGTTCCAGGATCCTTAGCAGCACATCCAACTCCAGCTGCGTGTCACGATAGATGTCATCCAGACTCTGTTCCACACCCCCGACATACCTCATGTTCCATATCTTGGACAACCTCTGGTGGATCCTTGTCACCCTGGCCACGGTACCCTCTGGGACGGTACCCTCTCTCAACTTGTAGTAACACAGGATGCATTTGAGGAAGATGGATTTGATAGTGGTAGGTGTGCAGACAACAATGGACCCCGTCTCTCTAGCTTGGAGCAACTTGAGGTACAGCTCGGGCGTGGCTCGGTGGTACCTGCTGAAGTGCAGTGTGAACACTCCCTTACGGATGACCGCTGAAAAGGTCTCTCTCAGAACGTTCTTGGTGAACTCTAGAAGCTCACTCGGACACACCTGCACGAACAATTGTCTTCCATTCGCCAACATCACCGAGAGTAGTGGTCCCACCACAGTGGTCTTGCCTTGACCCATGATCATCTGGTGGCACCTGCTCTCACCCCTCTCCACTGCTTCACAGAACTCTTTGAGCAGTTCCACCTGCGTCTTACGTAGCACCAAGTCATTGCTGAACTCGAACAGAAGGAGCCTGGGGTCCATCACTGCTTTCACATTGCCATTGTCACCAGACACCTTGACATAATGTCTAGTAACACACAGTTGGTCACAAAGCACATCCATGGAACTGCAAAGTGTGTCTTTTGTGACACCCCTTTCTACTTGATCAATTATTTGTGACACCTGCGATATCGCTTTGGCAGTGACACAACGTCTGTTCACGGTCATCATCACGGCAGCTACCATTGCCAACAGCTCCTTGGGACTATCTACAAACGGGTTCAATGACAACAGAGTGTCGATACCGTTACTTGACACCAAACATTCCACTAGCTGGTCCATACCAATGAGACACTCTACCCCGCCCAGTTTCCCGAAGATGTAGCTCCAGCACTGTTGCACTTCCCCATGACCAACCGAGTTGGCCTTGCGTAGCACACTTCTTATAGCTGTTTCCAGGAAACTGCCGTCTTTGTGGTACAACTTTACCAGTTTCTCCTTCAATAACACCAATAGATCACAATTTACTAAGGTCACACTCGTTGTGTCCACCAGGTCAAAATCCTTTTTTAGTCGTTCAACAAGTTCCCTTGCCTCCTCAAATTGCATTATCCAGTGGTGATCCAGTGCAAGTGGGAACTTTCTTTGGCCCCCTTCTCTCACCTTTACCATGTCACCAACAACGTCACCAAGTAACATGTTAGCCATCCCGTGGATGAACACGTCATCTATCTGGGCATCACCGACAGTGCAGGGAACAACCTCCATGACACCACAACAGTAGTCACTGGAGTATGTCACGAATGACCATGGGACCAACTTGGTACCACTTTGAACCACATGATTCCCTCTTATGACATATTGGTACATGTGGTACCTCCTGTGAGTGTCTGTCCAATGTATACAGCCACGTTGGTCGAGCCTCTGCAGTGTCCGTTGCAGCTCCACGAGGAACTTCTGGAACGGGTGCTGTTGCTGTACCCTCGAGAGGATGGCGGAGAGTGACTTTTTATGTAGCACGTCCGTGGGTACCCGTGGCAGCTGTGGTCCCAACGAGACATCGGTACTGAGTAGCTCGAGAGTGGACACCAGCACTGTGTTACTGCGTTCCCGGTGGACAATGTGTCTGGTGAGCAAAGCGCCCCAGGGGTGGGTCCCTTCATACGGCAACGTGGACAGTGGGAAGATCCCGCACAGCAGCTCGTAGACCACCACGAAATCGGACTGGGTCAGTCCCCTGCTGAACATTTTGTCAACATAGCACAGGGCATCGGCACCANACACCACAGTATCCAGTTTCTTGTAACGCATACCACCGAATATGTTACA